GTATTTAATAACAAAATCCAAAACTTAAAGTAAACATGAAACAATAATATATCAAACCAGATGACAAGCAAATAAACAAACTATTAATGTAGACCTCAGGACATGCCCGCTCGAGGCTTACGCGCTCAAGCGGCGAACTTTAGTACTACTAGATAACAGCTGATCGAATTCACTTGTTGAGCCGGTCTAGTTTCGTCTGTCGTCTGTCAACAAATAAACACCAGCTTGGGGTTATGTCGTCGTCGGCGTTAAATGTCTCTAAAATCGGCCGGTTTAACTTTATTTGGTAAAGTGGAGTGCTAATATAGGTAAATATGTATGGTGAACGTGTGTATGAACTTCACTGTGATTAAAAAGAGGCCTACGTTCCTTGGCCCATAGCCCATAAGCTATGGCCAACACATAGGCCTAGGAGTAGGCTATTGTGGTAAAAAAATCGGGTAAGTTCTGGTGTTCATTTATTCGTAGTACGTTTTTACCCCCCTTAAAATTTGGTACCTTACAGGTTGTCCATATTGATCTTCGTCAATGATAATGTAGTCTGCATGGGTACCACCCATTGTCGCCAGTATGTTTACAAATTTCAGTCAATTTTTTATAGCGATAACATATTATTTACATGACAAAGAACTGCCTGATTTTCTGCACAACCCCTCTGTCGCAATTTTATTTTATTTATCAATTGGCATTCATTTGGCTAGTTACTGTTATATCATAAATTATATTTACCTGAAAAAATGCAGAATTGAAAGGCCTAATGTCGTTCAGATGGTTTTTTTGTTTCCCTTAAATGTGAATAATGTGAATCCTTCATTGAAAGTTTTATTAAGGTTTCTTGGATTTAGTCACATTCTTTTAAAATCACTTAACTTTTATGAAAACATATATTTAATGATTAATGTCCTTGCCGTACCAGTTTAATCCAGACTTGGAGCTTAGAGGGGGTTTCTTTGCCAATCATCATAAAGTTAATTAAGTCCATGTATCCTACAAAATAGTAGCACTTCAGCTAACATCCTTGTTTATTGTTTGTGGAAATCTTCATATTGTAGCTGTAGGTGCTCTTCATTATATAGGTTGATAACGATAGTAAACTGTTTTAAAATCTCTATTTCTTCTACTTGTTGGCGTTCTATGACTTTCCTATGTTTCCATGGTTAAAAAATCAGCTCTTTCAATGATTGCTCAAGAAATACAGTAGGCCTACCTACCCTGTCAATTCATTTTTCATTTTTTGTTAAATATATCAAATATCCCAGGCTTTCTCGATTTTTACATTGTAATATGTACAAATGTAAATTAAAGTAGTAAATATTCAATTTCAACAAAATCAGTGAATGTACCCAATGCGTTTCGTTAAATTGAAAAATAAATAACAGCAATTAAATTATACAAATGATTAAAATATAAACAACCATGTTCTCCATAAGGATAACATGGGAAGTTTCAAAGCCACTGGGGCAGAGCCCAAAGGACTTTTTCAAAAATGTAAGGCCAGTTAAATGTTAAATCCAGTTGTAAAATGTAAGGCCAGTTAAATCTACGCGACACGCTCTTTCCAATGAGACGTCAATGGATAAAATCGGTTAAGAAATGGCGGAGGAGTTCAACCGACAAAGTTTCATGTAGCGTATTATTTATATAGATGTTTGCATTTATATAGCCTACGCGTACATATACATATATTTATTCATATATAATGTGCTTGTGTCCTGTTTACTTTTTATCCCCAGTCAATCTTAAAACAACGCGTTTTAATTCCCTAGATTTGTGGATAAATATTGACTTTGCTCTGAGTTTGCATTTAATGTTAAACAGATGGTTTATTTAATTTATCTATATATTAAATTCAATCTATGTTTGTTGTGTGTATGTCATGGTATTTGTAACAATCATGTAGTTAATAATACAAATATATAAAGTGAATTTCTCAGTGAAGATATATCCTATTTGTAAAACTTCCCAAAATGTTGTGTTTACTCCCCATGAGAACCAAGAATAAATTATTGAAAAGAAAAGAGTTTGTATTTGTTGTGGCTTATTGTCAATGGTATTATCTTAACCATTAACTATATCTATATATATAATAGAGGAGGTATGTATTTATTTATGTATGTATGTACCCTATTGACTCCAAAAGCCAGTGTTAAGTTTGGTATGTTTATAATCGCAGTATTATAATCAATGAAAGGGATGGTAATTCTTTAATATTGTTATCCTTTGTTCTATACCCACACAACGTAACATAAATCGTGAAAAATAATTGTGCGTGCTATCTCAGATATACAAATGCCTCGCAATTTGTCATAAACCGACCACATTACTGTCACTAAAAGAAGGAATGCCAATAATACTAATGTGAAACTTAGGTCCACTCAAGCTGTGCAACGGAACCAGACTGACTACAAAAAACATCGAAGGAACAATCATAAGTGATAAGTTTGAAGTAGAAATAGTCCCAAGAATACCAACGATATCATCTAGTCAAAAGTAGTCAAACAGGCAGACACCAACCAGTACAATAGATATAACATAATGCAATAAGAAATCGTTAAAAGAGTTACTGTAATATTAAGACTATACAATTATTCGTAATGGAACGTTATATAGCTAAACATGACATTATACAGAAGAACATAAATTTTAACATAAGAAAATAAGATCCTTATATATTTTAAGGTCCTGTAATCCAGCTACTAGGAGGTTACGAATTGTGGATATTTATAGGAATGCACTGTGGATGTGATACTCCCTGGTGTGGATTAACGTCCGCACGAGTGAGTACTACGACTAACCGCAGTACTATTCTAATAATTAGACCAATTCGTATATACCAAGGCATAAATGTGGTTCGGATTCCACTATAAACTGTAGGTCCCTTAGTTGCCATTAGCTGTATGGGCTATTAATTAACAGCCGTTTCTAAGGAACAAGTCGGCCTTAGTCACTAACAAGACTACAAGATCGCGCCACTCATCCTACACTCATCTCCGTTCATACTTGGCTTAAAATACCTTCTTTGTATGGTCGCCATTTCAAAGAAAAGTATTAAATTATTAAGTATTAATTCTGTAAGACCAAATTTTTACCAGGAAATTGTGGACGTCCAAAAAATATGAGTAGGCTAATTAATGTAATTTTCATGTTCTATTTTAAACTTTTGATTAAGAACTATAGACAGCGATGGAAGATCAATAGTAAATACTCCATTGTAAATAGATACAACAATAAAAATTTAGGTGTATGATAAACATTTAAAACACGTTGGTCCACTGAATTTCTATACACTCTGTATATTAGGAGGTTGCCAAATGTGATAAAAACTGTTAATTTATAAGATTTCCAACTGTATGATATACTATTGAGCTTTAAGTCTGCTTATGTACGCTTTAGTGGTTTGAATACTACAAAACATGGTGTCTTTAATGTTTAAAACATAGAAAGTCGGCATGTCTAAAGCAAAAATTGTATTAAAATATTATTAAAAATATTATTATTGTATACGACGGCGGATATTTGAAAGCCTTCAATGTGAGGGACGCAATAGTTTATACTGTTGGACCAAACGAACTCATATTAAAGCGTTGGATAAAACGATTTTGGACCATATGAAATTGGATAAAACGATTTTGGACCAAACGAACGGCAATATAAACGTTGGACCAATTACGATTTTGGACCATTTGAAGACGATCCTTCTACCCAACCGAATTTTATGATTGAGGTCTCAAATTGAAGGCATGCATGACAAGTTTTCTCATAAATCATTGGTAAATATTTACCTACTGTATTACTCAACCAAAACACATAATTTGATTTATTTTATAATTCTTACTTTAATTTAAGATGTACCTTCACCAGTTATAATTTTATAATCCTATATATTTTAGTCTAAGAACCTTCAGTGAAATACTGACTTTCATCTAAGCTATTATTTATTAAAATAGTACGAGTTTCAAGCAAACGCAAGGTGAAAAGCCAACATAAAAATATTTTTCATAAGGTTTTTGTATGATTAAAAATTAATAGCTCCAGTATTGGTAATGTGGGGAGCGAGCTGGCGTAGTGGTTAGAGCGCGGGACTTCAGTCCCTGAGGTCCCGGGTTCGATCCCCGCCAAGTCACCAATGGATTTTATCTAAGTGATAATACCGCAACCCCTAGGTCTAGCCTGAAGTAATGTGAAAAACAATCCCAGGCTCGTGCCTAGCGTCCTTAGGACAAAAAAAAAAAAAATGATTTTTTTCTCATAAATTTGATTATTTCTCGGATATCATATTATTTTGTTTTAATGCTGATGAGCAGCACGGGTCCTATAGACTCAAAATAATCAGTAAATTATAGGCTTTAATTTGAGCTATTGATTGTTTGAATCAGTTAAGCTCAAGATACTGTATTACTCAATCAAAAATCATAAATTTAATTATTTCTCGGATATTATATTTATTTTAACGCTACAGTACAAACTGCATTTTTGAACGTCCGTAATTTTATTTACAAAATAGTGAGGTCATATTTTAATGGCTAAAGACACCCTCGCCAATCCAGTGAACACATTAAAATGATCTTGATAGGTACTCTCGTTTTCTTGGAGAAGATAGCGTAAAATGCCATCTTGAGTGTTACAGACAGACAGACAGACAGAAATAGAGATAAGACTTGTTTCTGCTTCTTTAATGTATAACACGTAAAAATAATGAACAAAATAAAAATGTATACAAAAAATATATAATTCTGAGCTATGTACAGACAAAACTCTAATTTTATTTATATAGATTAAAGAAATTTATAGTTAATATCACAGGTAGAGATTTTACTGAAATTACGATAGCCTACATTAAAATTAAAATCTTAGAAATCAGTAAGCATAATACACAGTGAATAGTAATTAATAACTTGAATTTACAAGAACTTAAAAAATTGTATCGTAAGTTAAATTTTATGGCATTAGTTTAAATCCCATAAATTATTATTGGTGAATTATTTTATTCATATTTACAGGAAGTGTTAAAAGATGTAGCTCCAGAGCAAGTGAAGGGGCTGGGGTTTGATGCTACCTGTTCTCTTGTTGTTTTAGATCAAACTGGAAAACCGCTTACAGTTAGTCCCACAGGTAGGTTTTGTTAGACCACACTTGTATATATTTTAACTAGATAATCTGACCGTGCCTCGTCATAGACAGTAGACAATAGACAATTAATCTTAGTTTACACATACATTAAGAATATTAGTATCGTCAATTTACGATTTAAAAAAAAAATATGTGGTTGAGGTGATGTTTAGTCAAAGATCTGTTGATAGTATTCTTTTAAGGAGTAGGAAGGTTGATTAATGAGCCATTGATGCAAAGCTGGTTTGAGGTAATCTTCTGTCTTGCTTCTTAGATCTGGAGGTAGCCTGTAGTAGATTTTCATTCCTGCGTATGAAGGTTTTTTATTCAAACTGTGCCGTGCGATGTTGTGGAAGGTTGTACTGCATGGTGTTTCTCAGGTTGTGTTGGTGCATTTCACCACGCCTTGTAAGGTTATTTCTTAATGTGAATAACACAACTTCCTGGATGTAGAGTGCTACAAGGTTGAGTACTTTGAGTGCCCTGAATGCTTCCCTGCAGCTGTCGAGTCTGAGGAGTCATGGGAAGAGAACACAGAGAAATGGTGATTCTTCACCGCTTTGTCCAATACAAACTGCTGGTTGATTAAGCGCTTGTTCTTGATGTAAATTAATTTTATCAATGTTCATGTCACAATGTAAAAGACTCTACAGATGTGTTTTTTCCCCGGTGGAACACACAAGGCTCTGTCCAAACTCTATGGTTCTGGTGTCACTTAATTATATAGGCCCCCTACACATTTGTCTGCAACATCAATTGCTATGTTTTTAAAATATATACTACTGAACTCATAAGTAAACAATTGAAACATAATTCAAAGGTTTGAACATTATCCTACATTATAAGAATAACGTTCTGTCACTTCTCTTGTTGCAATATAGAAATCTAGGGTAGAATGATTCAAATATTTTCAAACAGAAAATGAAACGGATTGTGGGGTTGGAGCGTCTGCAAAACTCGACAATCCATTCCATTATCTGTTTGAAAAAATTTGAGAACCTTTTGAGAAGTAGCTAGTCTGCTTCCCGTTGAAACCATGTGCAGGTTGTTGACGTGCTGCATGACCCAAAGAGTGTTGTCTCTTTTAAAGCCCGACTATTTACGCAAGAGCCTTCTCTTCGCGATGAGGTTTCCCAGCACAGAATACATCATGGTGGGAGGCTTCTCAAGAGTTTCTCTAGAACTTGAGAGGAAGAGCTTCTCATACTTTGGACCCTCGTTGTACTATGTGACGGCCTGAAGGTTGTTGCATCTAGCAAAACATTTGAAGAAAAACTTAAAGATATGTTAAAAAAAATGTTAATTATTGTCTAAGTGTATAACGGCCAAATAGTAAGTAGAATAAGATATCTAGCATAGTGATGAAAGTTGTTCTGAAAAGCTGGTGTACAAGAGAAACGCTTAATAAAGACATTTTTATGTACTGAAAAGTTTAACAATGGTTAAACGGGTTTTGCCCCGTTTAACTTCTTAATTTTCAAGATGATCTCGTTCGCATGGCTCAATCACGTCCTGGTTGAAGTTCGTTCGCTACGCTCACTCACCTTTAGGTTGGAGCTCGTTGGCTGCGCTCACTTGCCTTCAGGTTAGCTTGTTCGCTACGCTCACTTGCCTTCAGGTTAGCTCGTTCACTACGCTAACTCGCCTCCAGGTTGAAGTTCGTTCGCTATGCTCACTCACCTTTTGGTTGCAAATTAGCTGTTGTTATAAATGTAAAATAAATAATAGTGCTGCACCCTGTTGGTAATCCTTGTAACTTTAATGCTATTGAACATCATAGAACAGAACCAACTTGTTTAATTGAAACAGCTGTTAAGATTCATAAATTCCATTTCTCATAAGGTTAACATGGGAAACTCCAGAGCCACTGGGGCGGAGCCGATTGGACGGATCACGAAATTGATGGTGTATAAACCTATTCGATGAAATTCTACACGTATGTACCAAGTTTCGTGGCCATCAGTTCAGCGGTGTGTGAGTTTATCACTGCCAAATATATATACAAACATCCTCTTTTATACTTATAGATTCAATGGCCCCAAGTTCAAGTAATTCTCATTAGAAGGAATGTTAAAAGCAGTACTTTCATACCTTCATACCTTATGTTCTGAGGTGGCCGAGGTAGTTGTAGGCTACCTGAATTTGCTGCTCTCACGACGACCTGTTAAAGATCGGCGACAACCTTTTGGACTCTTTATTTGGTCAATGGCCTTAACCATTAAATTAGTTACATCAAATTTGATTAGTCTTTAATAGTGATGGGCGGATCCAAGAAAATGTTGGTACCGGATCTGGACCCTGATCTTGAAATAGTCGGATCTGAAGATCTGGATCCATATAGGTTTTTTTCTTTTTTTCCAAGGGCGGGTTTTTTAAATAACTCAAATAGCTAGGCTAGGCAATTTCACAGACGTCAAAAATTCATATGGCTAGGTAATGTGACAGTATATGTCAACGTTCATAATTCATATGGGTAGGCAATGTCAAAGACTATCTGTGTCCAGTCTTGTCAGTGTCCATATACAAGACTGTCAGTGTCCATATACTAGACTGTCTGTGTCCATGTACAGGGCTATCTTTGGACACAGAGTGTTAGTCTTGTACATGGATACTGATCGTCTTGTACATTAATACTGATAGTCTTATACATGGACTCTGACAGTCTTGTACATGGACACAGATTGTCTTATATATGGACACAGTTAGTCTTGTATATGGTCACAGATTGTCTTATATAAATAAATAAATAAATACTTTATTGTCTTGACAATATAGATTGTATCGACAGTACAATTAGGTACTTATGGTATTAAATAAAACTCTTTAAATTTTGATGCATTTTTCGTTGAAGTCTTCAATAGAGTAGATTGGATTTTCAGTAAGGATTTGTTTTAATTTTTTTTTGTAGTCTTTTAATTTTAAGTTTTGAATAATAGTTGGTAATTTGTTAAATAATTTTCTTCCGTTGTAATAAACATGATTTTCATAAAATTTTGTTTGGTGGAAAGTAGAAGAAAATGTTTGTAATTTTCTCAAAACATAATTCTTCTCACATAATTCATAATTTTTCAAGAATTTCTCAAAATTTTTCTTTAAAAATAGTAATGTTTCATGAATATAAATTGAGGTAAAGGTCATAAATTGGTAATTTTTAAATATTTTTTACAGGATTGGCGTGGTTTTAATTTGAAAATAATTCTTAATGCAGACTTTTGCAATTTAAATATTTGTTTAGTTTTTGATGAAGTTGAGCCCCATATAGGTATTGCATATCTAATATTGGAAATAATTAGCAAATGATATACAGTGAGTTGGACACAGTTAATCTTGTATATGGACACAGTTAGTCTTGTACATGGATACAGAGAGTCTTGTATATGGACACAGATAGTATTGTACATGGACACAGATAGTCTTTTATAAGGACACAGATAGTCGCTATTAATTTTATTTTAAAATACATCACTATGACAAAACACCTTTTCTTATGTATGAATTGTACTTTTTAAAGGACGTTTGTGTTAATAGAATGTGTTAACGGAAATACATTCACTTATTTAACTAATAATAATAACAATAATAATAACACCTATTGTCTTTTTTAATTGCCATTCCAAAATTCAATATTTTTTCTTTTTTCTATTTGACAGCAACTTAGCAGACGCACAGGTAGTACTGCCTATGTCTGCTAGTTCCTTATTTTATTGTTATATATTTTGGCTTTATTAAAACTTGTATATATATTTTTAGTGACAAAAGTCTCTGTCTAATACACTTTATTTTAGTTTATAATCACAGTTAATAAACTAATAAACTATATATTCATTCATTTATTAATATAACAGATTGGAAATCAGCCTGTTTAGCAGAGCCCCAATAGATTCTGTTTATACCAATACTTTTCGGCAAATCTACACACTATGAGCTTTGTTTTCATGTGCCACATGTCTACATTTTTATTTGGTTAATTACCTTAACCATTTATTTAAATAAAATTTCATTGTCTCATTTTAATAATATAATAGATTAAATACAGCCTTTTAACTCTCCAACAGGCATACTCTGTAGTGGCAAGGAATTTTTGGCGATTTTGCAGTCATATTTTTGAAAATTCATATAAACTAAACCAACAGAGCAAACCTATTGAACCGTATACTTAAATTGTTTCTAATGAAATAAAGAATTTGAAAATGGCAACAGGATGAATATTTAGAACAGTAAGTATTGACGTTAGGTAGGAAAAAAATGGTTTTTTGAATTTTTAAATGTTGGAGTTAAAACTTTGCTGTATGAACCAAATATTTGTCATGTAAAATTCAAGATACGGTATACAAAATGTTTAGATTTTATTTCCCTGCATGTAGATATAAAAACATTTCAATTATCATTTATTTTTACAAAGTTACGACCCAAAAACAATCAAATGGCAAGTTTAATGATTTTGCACTACAAATTTCAAACAAAAACCAAATAAATGTGTTATCAAGAAATGTAGTAAAAGTACACATTTTTGTAAATGCAATAACATTGGAGATCAAAAATGGAGTAAGAGTTGTCCATGGAAAATGATCATTTCAATAAATATTTATGACTTAAATTTTTATATCTTTCTAGAAAAACATTTTGTTAATCACACATGTATATTATTTTTCAAACACATACCAACTATATAAAATGAAAGTAAATTTATTACTCTACTTGATAGTTATAAAGGCAAATAGAAATAAAAAAATAAATATTTTATTGTGTTTTAAATAAAATGCTGCTGTGCCTTTTTCTAGTGGCGATCAAATTGTTTGTTCATTATGATCAAATGTTTTAAAAACAGACTAAATGTAATGCCCCAGATATCACATACACATTTACAACTAATAAATATGATTTGAAGTGATAAAAGTCACACCTGCGATATTCGTTGTTGGTAAACAGCCAATAGAGTTCATAAAAACTGGCTAAAAATAGTATCTCAAGTTTCTAAAAGTAATATCACATTTCAGTCAAGGCACAATAAATAATATCCAAACTAAACATTTGCAAATTTACAACTTATAATCATGGTGTAAACTGATGAAGTAAAATCACACCAAAACTCGACTTGTTAGTTGTTGGTCAACAGAGATCGAGGTTAGTTAGTCAGACAAATATTCATGAAAAGTAACAGCTGATAACTTCGGCCCCAGTGGTTCAATCTAAAACAACTAAATTCCACAATGCACAGAATTTCATGTACTTTTGAATGAGATAATTTATCGTATGGATAATTATATATTTTAGTAAATAAAACGTGTTTTACGAGTTTACGACTACGACTATTATTGTTTAAAGGTTTATTACGGACATTTTCCATCACGATTGTAAAAAACAATACACAACGTACGACTATTATAGTCGCTCTGCCCCTTCACGAACACGTAAAAACTGCTTGTTTTGTTTTTGTTGTTGTGAGATCATATGTAATTATATCGAGATGATTTTTGCACCATAATATAGGAAAATTCTTCTTTATTGCAGTGGTACAACTCGTTTCTTTGTAGACAAAAAATATCCCTTGTTATAATTTTTTTAAATAACCATGTTTGGCAGTTTTATGATGCGTGCATGGTGCAACTGACTTGCAATTGCGACTGAAATTTTTGTTCACTTTAGTGCCTAATTACAGTGATCTAATTGTGAGATAATCTTCATCTATGTAACAAAGTGAAAGTTTAGAATCTTATCTTTCTAAAGGTATAAAAATTATTCCATTTTACAATTGTTTTCAAACATTTATTTAGATTTAACCAAAACTTTGCAAAACGTTACTATTATAGTCGCTGCCACTACAGAAACCACCTACCGCGACTATTATATTCGTGCTGCCAGTTGGAGGGTTAATTGAGGTCCCTGCCCTTAGGGAATGCAACACTAAATAAACAGGCTGTAATGCTCCTCTGGTAATGGCGTCATCCTAGGTGACAGCAATGACGTAATGTTTGCTGTTTGTGATCAGCTACTTGTTTTAATCTTTTCTTGGAACACCAAAAGATAACTTCAATCAGACAAACAACAAACATTACATCTATGCCGTCGCCTATGATGACGTCATTCCAGAGGAGCATTACGGACTGTTTATTTATAGTGTTGCCTTGACTCAGGAGAGAGTTAATCGAAAAACTGATATTTTGGAGAAGTTTCACTTTCAAGTATGCGGTTGATAGGTGTGTGGCTTATGGTTTCCTCCAAAGTTCAGACCCTTCTTAGATTTCATCAAAATGAATACACCTTCATTTGTTGTTTTTATAAGGCCAGGCACACACAGGCGATTTTGAGTCGCGCAACAGTTGCCCGACTAATCGGGGGACTGTTGCGCAACCCACTCGGAGACTCTGAAGTCTAGCAACAGTTGAGCTGGAGTGCGCACACAGGCAACTTTTTAGTCGTGAATCTAAAGTCTTTAAGACGCAAGTTAGACATTACATTCGTTAACAGCGTTAACAGTACCGAATGGATTTCAATGATACAATTTTATCCTCTTGTGTTAGGTTGTTCCAATCTTTAGTAACTGCCAATGACACTTCATCCCACAACTTCTTCTTCAAATTAATATCCGAACAGTCTTTCAATGACTTTAAATATAAAGGCGGCCTCTTGTCAACTTAATCAATTAATTGTTTGACATCCTCATCACGGAACTCGTATCTAAGTAATTTTCTAAACACTTCACACAAGAAAAAGAGAGCAAACACTAGTGACAGATCTGGCCACGAGTAGTTGAATTCCTCTGTTGAGACTAAGCAACACAGCGACAATTTAGTTGCATGTGTACGCATCTACACTTGGTTCAATGGATACCAAACCTGGAGCGACAGTCCCGCAACAATTGAGTCGCAGAGCAGTCGCTGGCAAATTGGGTCCGGGAACATCGGTTGCAACAGTTGCGCGACTGTCCCTAGACTGTTTCCTTGGTGTACGCACTCCAATTTAAAACAATGTTGAACATTTTAGTCGGGCAAGTGTTGCGCGACTCAAAATCGCCTGTGTGCACCTGGCCTAATATTCGAGTTGTAGTCTAACCTATATTTAAACTAGCTGTACCCGCGGGCTTTGCCCCGTTTAACTTCTTAATTTTCAAGATGAGCTCATTCCTATGGCTCAATCACGTCTTGACTGAAGTTCGTTTGCTAAGCTTTCTCACCTTTAGGTTGGAGCTCGTTCGCTGTGCTCACTTGCCTTCAGGTTAGCTCGTTCGCTACGCTAACTCGCCTCCAGGTTGAAGTTCGTTCACTACGCTCACTCACCTTTTGGTTGCAAGCTGATGTCATAAATGTAAAAAAATAATACTGCTGCACCCTGTTGGTAAACCTAATGCTATTGAACATCACAGAATCAACTTGTTTAGTTGAACCAGCTGTTAAGATTCGTTAACTCCATTTAAATATGAGTACTCATAAGGTTAACATGGGAAACTCCAAAGCCCGATCAGAATAAAAACTACTTAGTTTTCCTATTTAATGCCCAAAGAATCGGTGTACCGAATTTCAGCCTCCTAGGTAAATGGGAAGTGGGAGAATTAATGATGAGTGAGTGAGTCAGTGAGGGCTTTGCATTTTATTAGTATAGACTAGCTGTACCCGCGGGCTTTGCCCCGTTTAACTTCTTAATTTTCAAGATGAGCTCGTTCGCATGGCTCAATTACGTCCTGGTTGAAGTTTGTTCGCTACGCTCACTCACCTTTAGGTAGGAGCTAGTTCGCTGCGCTCACTTGCCTTCAGGTTAGCTCGTTTGCTACGCTAACTCGCCTCCAGGTTGAAGTTCGTTCGCTACGCTCACTCACCTTTTGGTTGCAAATTAGCTGTTGTCATAAATTAAAAAAAAAAAATAGTGCTGCACCCTGTTGGTAATCCTTGTAACTTTAATGCTATTGAACATCATAGAACAGAACCAACTTGTTTAATTGAAACAGCTGATAAGATTCATTAATTCCTTTTAAATATGAAAAATCATAAGGTTAACATGGGAAACTCTAGAGCCACTGGGGCGGAGCCCAAGGGTCCGATCAGAATAAAAACAACTTAGTTTTCCTATTTAATACCTAAAGAATCGGTGTGCCAAATTTCAGCCTCCTAGGTAAATGGGAAGTGGGAGAATTAGTGATGAGTGAGTGAGTGAGTGAGTGTGTCAGTGAGGGCTTTGCCTTTTATAAGTATAGATACAAACAAACTTTTGAACACTGCTAAACTCTCTAACTCATCCCGTGGTTTCGATATTATTTATTACAACAACAAAAAACTACTTGATCTCTTAATTTTTATGTTTTTACATTTTAATTTTAAATTTTATTCATGTGTAGGATTCATTTTTGGAAACACGTGGTACAAATATGCCCCCCACAAATATGAACAAGTTCATACTGTCTTTAAATACACTTGGTACAATAGATTTGTTTTTCAGGTGAAGTTGATCAAAACATCATACTCTGGATGGACCACAGAGCCCACCATGAAGCTAAACTGGTCAATGACACCAAACACGAGGTGCTGAAGTATGTAGGAGGTAAGATATCCTTGGAGATGGAAATACCCAAGTTGATGTGGCTCAAGAAATGCCTGCCCAAAACTTGGAAACAAGCTGGAAAATTCTTTGACCTACCAGATTTTCTGACTTGGAAAGCTACTGGAACAGATTCAAGGTAGTGATGCATAGCCTACTTAGGTACATTTTTTGAACTGTTTTTCATTTCAGGGCGAGTGTATTATTTTGATTGAATGGATTGAGTGAGATAGGCAGTCTGCTACTGAATAAATTGGTTTACTACCCAGTGATCAAGAATAGCTATTTTCAGTTTTAAGCTGTCAAAAGCTACTGATATTTTTATCATTATTGAACCAGCTTTCTATTAATTTTCAGCCAAGTATCTCATAACCAAACTACTACTACTAGTCAGCTGCAATGCCGATCCTAAATTTTGGTGCTTAGTTTAAGGATGGTGATTACCGTAGGATGGATAGAAATAAGATGATAGTGGATCATTGCTGTTTAAAGCCATGTCTAAGACATGGATTTTAAAACACATTTCAATTCAAACCAAATGATTGCAACAATCAAAAATGAACGCCAACATTTTGCTGAAAATACTTTGATGTTACCAAAGTTTTTTCAGTGTTTGCAACAGGAATTTGGTATCCTATAAGAACCCGACGATGGGCGACAACAGATTGTAAACATTGGCGGTTAATGTTGAAAACACATAGTCAAAAACCTCGTTTACACCAGAGTTAACAAGTAAATTTTCTTAACAACAGCTGAAATCAACAAGTCTTAAATATTTTGTAAAATCTTTGTTGATATTATCTGTTGTCAAACAATTGTTAAAACAGTGTTAATTTTGCCGTTAACAGCAAGTGGCTAAGGATCAGCTCATTTCTGCACACTAAATCTGTCTGGTGCAAATCCTTAGCAAGTTCAAAGCTAAACATTAATCCATTCCCACAATCAAAAGTATTGAGAAAACTTAAAAAACTTGTGTAAGTCAGCAGCTACCGTAATGAAATGTTTTCATTTCGATTTCTTCCATTCACATTTGTTATTTGCTTATGTTGTGGGGAGGTAGTGCTGGGGCAGATAGGTTTTTTTTGTGACAAAAGAGACCAATAAGAATCTTGTTTGATTTAGAGTTAAGGAATAGCGCTAGGAGTAATTTCTTTGCACATAAAATTATGACTGTTTCATACACTTGGATTTTTCAGAATTTAATTTATGTTAGGGAAAATATTACTGACTTTGGTTGTTTTAGCGTCTAAAGTATGCAAAGAGTCACAAATATCAACAAATGCATTTTGTTAACAAAATTCCAGAATCATTTAAATTGTTGGATTTAAAATCATTTAAAAATAAGATTCATGATTGGCTTACTAGTCACACATTTTATTTTATAAAACATTTCTGTTATATATAGTGTAAACAAACTAAGTTTTGGGTCCTTTATTTGACTGTCTGTATTTGTATATCTTGTTGTTGTTTTACTGTTGTTATGTATATGTTTCATTTATTTATTTTGTTGTGACTACTTTAAATTTATATTGATTTTATTTAATATGATTATTACCTTGGTGCTGTCTTTCAATGTAGCCTATAACTGATGAAGCCTATTTTAATCTTGTAATACTCAATGGCAAATAAAATTCTGATCAAATTACCTATTTTAAGAAACATGGCCCAAAATTAATTGAAAAAAAAACAAATTAATTGATGAGCTGTAAAATAGTGAATGAGTTGTGTGTTGTAGCCTAGCCAATAATTGAAAATGAAATGACATATTTCATATTTCACAGGTCTTTGTGCTCAGTTGTCTGCAAGTGGACGTATGAAGTAGATGTGGACACTGGTGTTGTCAAAGGTTGGAACAGACATTTCTTTGGATTACTCGGCCTCTCGGACTTGTTGGACAACGACTGTGCCAAAATAGGTGAAGCTCTCCTTCAGGTATTATAAGTTCATCCAATGCTTATGTGTTGTATGGCGCATGCTCATTTCGTACTGATAGCATGGCTGTGTTTTTTGTTCACTAAAAGACTTTTATAGACAGATTTTACCTTTAAGATTTAATAAAAAAAAATTATAGAAATATTTTTTTTTTTAAAGAGGATCAAACCAATTTTATTGTGCATTATCATTTTAAATTTTCCCCATGATGGTTGATTGATTTAATAGTGTACTTCTAGGTCAGATATCACATTAAGGTGAAAAGTCTACTTACAGTATCAAAGATCAATACTAAAACACTGTCTTGTAAAGCCAACTGAGGTTAAAATGTTTGTGAATTGCTATTACCACCATTTTAATCAATATGCATGCTTGATCATTATATAATAGTTTGTCATTACAGTAACTGCTTAATTCTAAGTAGGTTATTGTATTTTTGTGGCGATATTCCTTTTTTAATGTACCCGATAAACTTATTTAATATCCAGTTTAATTAGTAGTTGCCTACCAAGGGAACATTTATTCATAATGCAAAGTACGTAAGGTAACTTATCAGAGTAAATGAATAAATTAAAATGAACTGTAAATTAATCGAGACAAGTTTATAGATCTCATTTCTCTTGGGAATTATTCGTTTGGACAGTTTTACTTACAGTTGTTAATAAATAACAATAAAGTGAGTTACTATTAAAACAACAACTTAAGTGCAATAACTAATTATTTATTATCGACATAAAAGAGTGTACAAAATAACAAAAGCTTACAGCAACTTAAATAGTTATGAAAATTTAAAAAGGAAAAAAAATAAAATGAAAATAAGACATCTTATATATAAAAGTGCAACATGCGTACCACAACTAGCTCCCTCACAATAAAAACAGCCTTTAAGGGATGAAAGAATTGTGTTTATCCGGTATTCATTTATCCGCGATTCTGGTTTATCCGCAAATGGTCTGCTTCAACCTAAATGAAAACTATACTTAAAGCAACAATTTACCTACGCAAAGAATAAATTAAATAAGATCGCCTTTGCAAAGGAAACGCTACAACCTGCTCCTGTATTGCGGGTATTGAATTTACTTTTTCTTTATCTCATCTTGAAAAAGTCTCAGAGCAAAGTTAATCTCGCTCGAACAAACAAGAATTTTTTAATCTCAGAAGTTTCTCAAATATTTGATACCTGTCTACCCCTACCTACAAATGAAACCATTGGGTTAACATTATTGTTCATTACTCTAAACAAATAAATGGGATTGGGAGTGGAAGTTGCTATATTATGATGCTAAGTAGTGACATCTGAATAAATCATGAGGTTGTTTCATAAATTAACACATTCACTACCAGGTCTTACAAGACTCCTCCGTGATAGCTGGTAGACAACGAGTTAATACATATAATAGAGATTGGTGGTTTGAATAGTCATGGTTAATTCAGGTTTTACTGTGTACTGATTCACTATGAAGCTACTTGTAGATAGTTGTAAAGAATTATCAATATTATAAAACTGTATAAATACCTGCTTCTAAGTAATCCAAATTGTTGCAAAGACACACAACTAGTTTTGACTTTTCAAAGTCATCTTCAGCCGTCCAGGGAGGGAATGTCAGAATCGCTTCATCAGAAGGCATAATTTTGAGTCTAGATGCTATCCATCTGGTTGTGACGCATCATCCCTAAGCTAGGTACCATTTTTATTCATCTTCCACTCGTACCTCTTTTTTGTAAATGTACCTTTTTTTCGTAAGATTGTTCGTGTGTATTTGTAAATCAAATTAAATCGTCTTTATTTCATATCTATATCTATAAAAGAGGAACTATGTATGTATGTATATATGTGTATATACTTTATGGACTCCAAAACTGCTCGACGGATTGTAATGAAACTTTCAGGCATTATTAAGCATCTTTCAAGGATGGTTCGAGTGGAGTTTGGTGCAGATCCGTCAAAAGGGCTCTGCCCCATAGGGTTTTAAGTGGGCCAATGTCAGACTTTTTGATCTACAATTTTATAAATAAATATAATTATTTAAAAGCAGATGTTTACTTTCACCAAATGTTTTGTAGGTTTGAATAATCACAACATTCTGTATTGGCATTTATTTAGTCATGATTTGAAATAGTGCCACAGTGTTTCTACAGAGTGCAGCACAGAAAACTATTTTACTTTTGAATAAGTTCAAATCCCCAATCGCAGCACACCTGTGCACTCAACAACGTTTAAATTCTCCAATGTTAAATATTTAAAAAATAAAAACCTTTATCAAAGTATTATAAACGATAAATGTGATGACAACGCCTAAATATTTTTATCTTTCGTTCTATACCCACACAATCTAACATAAATTATTAAGTGGATAATAATCATGCGTGCTATCTCGGGTATTCAAATGCCTCTCAATTTGTAATTAACCCACCACATTACTGTCATTAAAAGAAAGAACTCCAATAATAATGCGAAACTTAAATCCACTGAAGCTGTGCAACGTTACCAGACTTAAGATTTAAATACCCCCGCCGCAGCAAACCTGCAGACTAAGCGAATTTCCATTTATAACATTTATTCTTGATTTAAAAAGAATTAGTTTAACAAGTACTTAGGTTTGCTGCATCAGGGAGGGTAAAACTGTTTTTTTTGTAAAATGTTAATAGTTAGTAAGAAATAAAAACATTTTCCAAATTTGATCAAAATATGTTCACAAACAAGCAAACTACAACAGTTTACTTATTCTCCATAAGAATAACATTGGAATTTTAAATTTTTCAATTTTTTGGAATTTTCTCCGTAACCGTTAGGCGCATAATAACGCTTCAATATACTAAATTATTTGTTTTTTTAAGCTCTACAAAATGGTTTGGAAAGAAATTGCTAAATTTTATGTTTTTTGGGTTAAAAATGGGAAAAACCTATTTTTACCCCATAAAACCCCTCGTAAACCCCCGTTCCCATGGTCCGATCATGCTGGATCGCGAACTCGTTCGAATAAACGTACGTTTACACGTTTGTACCAAATTTCATCAAAATCGGATCATTTTTGCTCGAGTTATCGTGCTGACGGACACATATATATCTATAATATTAAAACGAAACTGTATATATATCTATAATATTAAAACGAAACTGTGTTTTTTTATTTTACGATTCTGAATCAACCACTCGACGGATTTTCATGATTTTTGTGTTGAAAGAAAGATAATTTTGAGAACTAGGGAATGTCGAAGCCATAATTTTAGTTTAGGGTCCCAGTTTTTTAGAAATTGAGTTTTAATTTTTAAAAAGTCTAGCAGCCGACGCTTAGATTTTAAACTAGCTTTTGGCATAAAATAATTTGTTTAACATAACAGCTGTAAACATTCAGCGTTTGTGTCACAAATTCAGCATTTGGATAAAAATTTAAAGACATACTTAGGGTTGACTTATTTATACTATGTGTAATGCTAATCATTGATACGTTCAATTCTTCTGTAAGAGGATGCCAGATTAATTAAATATACATAGTAAAATACTAGGATGTTCAAATTATTTTTTAAAGCAATCTTTGTAATCTTCGATTTGTTTTAGAGCAATATAATTTGTTTTAACTAACAGCTGGTTAAATATAAACTATGGAACTATGAGGTTATTTTATTTACTCTTATTTTGTCATTGATTATAGGAAATAAGTAAGATTAGTAGAGATAATTAGACCACAGTTTAAAATAGTTTAGACCAAAATAATTAAACCACCGTACAAATCGAGGCTCTGTACACGAGTCTTAATAAAAAAGGATAAATGCAAATTATTTTACTGCTCCACTTTTCAAGGAAAGATTAGAAAAATAACAATGTTCACATGTTTTAATTCTTCATGGTAGCTTTTTGTTTACAATTATATTTGTCTGCTTTAACTTTGTTTGGATTAGGCCCGGAAATATTTATGTCACAAAAAGAAGATAAAGAATAATCAGGAATCATGATTTTAAATTACCACCACAACCTCAGCCGGGTTTTATACAAAGATAAACAGATGGATGACATAGATTGAACACAACGTCAACATTGACCTAGGATACTGCAATTAGACAAACCATCCTTTTATGAAATCGTGTTCAGTTGTGGTTACGTTTGGGGTTGCCTATATCAGCGCCCCCAAACGTGAAAATATCACTTTTATTTTAACTATGAATATAATGTAGTTTAAATTAACTAATATGGAAAATTACGATGTACATTTATTCAATGAGGGTGGGTAATTATCAAGGATAGAACTGATAACGGTATAGATAATAAACATTGACAATTACGTCATTAGCTTTACTAGCGTGTTTACTTTTTATATTCCTGCTACATGTGACCAGTTCTTTTTTTCAAATGAATGTTATTTGAACCAAACAGCTGTTACAAAACAAACTGTTATTGTTTTTACTTTTCTTTGTTTACACTTATTTATTTAGCAATTAATGCAGTGAAATTGAGGATAGGTGTGACGATTAGTTTTGATGTTAGTACACCAAAGTTAAATGATGTGTACTGTGAATTTTATTGAATATTATCGTTTTATTTTAGGTCGTTTCTATTCAGACCTACTGGAAATTGTGTATAGTAGTTGTATTGTGGTGATAATAATTATTAATGAAGAGGCAGGTATGCTATGGAAGGTAGTATCGTTGACTATATACTTCTCAATTGACTATTACTCTCTCTTCTGTAGCACAGAAAACATACTACTATTCTGTGACTGTAGGCTACTTATAATCAGTGTGCGTCTGTGCGAATCGGCTGCCTCACTTCAACGCTTTTCACATCATAAAAATTGCAGAATTGCTGTTTTATTGTAAAGTTATCGGATTTAAAATGCATATCGTATAGGCCGTATCAGGTATATATTATGATGGAAACATATTTAGTCACACAACATTTGTTTACAAGATGATTTTTCACATTAAAACTGCAAGAAACTTTGTCTTTATATCTGTAAACTAGCTGATCTGAATTGTACACGGTTTTAACTGACTACTGAATTCCTGTACGTAGGACGGGCTAACACCTCGTATATATAAATATTACATTAAATATCATTATATTATATACTCATTATATTAGTAGCCCTAAAAATGCAAGAAAATAATATATATATATATATGAATTTGAACGGATGGTGTTTTTGGCCTCTAGGGACCTCAAAACGAAAAAAAAAAAATCGGTCCCGCGTCCAGGTCTTACTATGAGTAGGCCCTACTACGGTAATAGCTTATTCCCTATATGGGAAATTCGCTAATATTCCCTAATTTGGGAAATTCGCTAAAAATGACGTCAAAATTTATTAAAGCAAAAATTATCAGTGGTAGGTTTAAGGGAGAAATAGTCTTAATCCCAAGAATACTGATTTCATCCGAATTACCCTCTGAATTTAAGCAACTACAATTTCCTTAGTGTCTTGCTTTCGCAATCACCATTATAAGGCACTAGGGCAATCCCTGACTATCGTCGGTTTAAATGTAGAAAAAAACATGCTTTTCACACAGACAGAAGTATTTTGTTAGCGCAGCAACGCGCGCCGGGTAACTGCTAGTTGTACATAAATCAGTACATGGGATGGTGTCAAAAAATGTATCTAAAACTTAAAATAAAGAAAACAAGTCTAATAGTAATAAATGTACAATATGTGTATCGACAACCTTCTGATGAAGCGATTTCGACACCCCCTGAACGCCTGATGATGACTTCGTGAAGTCGAAACTAGTTGCATGTCTTTGCAACAATTTGGATTACTTAGAAGCAGGCATTTACACAAATTTTTAAATTCAACGTAATCCAGAGACTAACATCAAAAATGAAATTATAAAGTACTTAGCCTAGACTCTTATAATTAATCTTGTTTGTTTTAGGCCAAGTAATTCTGCCTCCTGGCTCACCCTGTGGCTCAGGATTGAGTGCAGAGGCTGCTAAAGAACTTGGTGAGTGCTTATTAAAAAGTGTACAGAGAAAACCTCTAAGTGCTTTAGTTATTGTTTTATAATTGTAGTTCTCATGGATGCCACAAAACAATAGTATATTTATACACCCTTCTTACTCTAGCTCTTCTCTTCCCTGCACAAAATGTGTCTTTGTTTCTTAGCCTGTTTGCTGAATAACTGTGCATACTAATAATCAAATATGTTACAACTAGCAGAGTACCCATCCTTCGCACAGGGTTGGCGTATAAGTATAAAATGCTTATCGCAGTTATACTCATGTTTTGCGTTTGTCATGATGGGGGACACAGTTTGGGAACATTTGGTTCGTTAAATTTACACTATGCTATAGTTAACACATCTACTATAGCCATAATGTTCTACCACTGCACCTAAACAATAGAAAATACCCCCGCCGCAGCAAATCTGCCGATTAAGCGAATTTCCATTTGTCTGAATTGATTTTCAACTAACTGATATTTAAATAACTTTAGGTTTACTAACCTAGGTTTGCTGTTACAAGGAAACTAATATAGTGTATTTTTTAGTAAAATATTAATACTGTAGCTTAGTATAATATGAATAAATTTGCCAAGTTTGATCAAAATATATCCATAAACAAGCAAACTACAAAATTTTACAATATTCTCTATAAGAATAACATGGGAATTTGGAATTTGCAATTTTTTGAATTTTCTTTGTTACCAATAACCCTACAAAAACACTTTGATAAACTACCATAGCCACATCTACCATAGCCATAATGTTCTACCACTGCATCTAAATAAAAAAAAGTCAAGTTCTCATTGTATATCACAGCTTTTTGTTGCTGTTTGGTTCAAATTAGCTGTTGTCATAAATGCAAAAAGGTTTAATAGTGCTAACCAATAATAGTTTAATAGTGTTTAGTAATGCGTTGGGATGGTGGCTGCTTTTGGTAAACCTTATAAATATCTAATGCTTATTTAATATCATAGAACCTAGAACCAACTTGTGTTGTTGTTGTGTGTGGAAACTCCAGAGCCACTGGGACAGAGCCCGAAAGGATTTTTGAGATAAGAATATGTCTATATGTTAATCGGGAATGTGAGCTATCATTATACCAAATTTCAGCCCAATCCAACCAGTAATTAATGCATGATTGAACGTCAAACAAACAAATAAACAAACACACAAACTTTCACATTAATAATATTACTAAGATTACTATCATAACACAGATGATCACAATAAGTGTTGTATCTGTATCTTGGTTAAGAAATTTTCAACTTTAAGGAGATAGTTTGAATGAGAGCCTAGCCAGTTGTATAGTAACTTTATTGGAAAAGTGTATCAAATACACCGTTTATTCATTTGTAGTTGGTGATCATGTAGTTTCTTTTTAAACAAGTATTTTCCTACAAAAATTGTGTACATAATTAACTAATTCATAAGAGATAAAACAAAATTTTTTAGTTTTTGAATCTAAAAGAAAATCAAGATTTTTGGTTGATAACATTTTTGTAGCTGAATTTTATCGAATTTCCCTATAGGGAAGTAAGCTATTACCGTAGGTGGCATGGTAAGACCTAGACCCGGGACCGATTTACTTTTTTCATTTTGATGTCCCCAGAGGCCAAAAACACCATTTGTTAAAATTTTTATACATGTATATATATATATATATGTGTGTCCGTGAACGCGATAACTTGAGTAATTTTTGTCCGATTTTGATCAAATTCGGTTTAAAGGTGTAAAGCAGGATAAACTTGAATGAGTTCGCGAACCAGCATGATCGGACTATGGGAACGGGGGTTTATGGGGGCTTTTATGGGGTAAAAATAGGTTTTTCCAATTTTTAACCCTAAAAACTCAAAATTTCACAATTACTTTCCAAACCATTATGTAGTGTTTAAAGAAACAAATAATTTAGTATAGGTATTGAAGCGTTATTATGCACCTAAGGGTTACGGAGAAAATTCAAAAAAATTTAATTTTAAAATTTTCATGTTATTCTTATGGAGAATAAGTCAACTGTTGTAGTTTGCTTATTTATAAACATACTAGTGTACCTGTTGCTTGAGTTCGAGCAATTGCTAAGTATTACAGGCGTTATCTATACTTTTTTTAAACTAATAACAGTCATAATTTATGATGACTTTAAAGGATTCGACTCAAAGATTATGGAAATACTCAAGATGTACATAACAGATCGATATAATCAATATTTCTTGTAAATATCTTATCATTTTTCAAAAGCTGATCTTGTTTTTTTTTTTAGTGTTTTCAGCAAATGTTTCCCACAATAGCCGCCGCATTAGGTTGTCCATAATAACAATTATAAATAAACATAAAAATAAAAATTTCTATTTCTTCTCCTTGGTGGTGTTCTATGACTTTCCTATGTTTCCATAGTTTGCAAATCGGCTCTTTCAAAGATTACTAATAATTTAATGCTTAAATGCAGCACAGTGTTAATTAAGTTTTCTTTTTAGTATATCTCATTATCCAGGCTCTCTCCCTTTTTTCCATTGTAATATTTACACCAATCCAAATTCAAATAGTAAATATTTCATTTCAACCAAGTCAGTAAATGTTTGTAGCAAACTGTTAAATTAGCAAGCTTATTGACTGTTTACAATTAACATATGTTCTTCTTCTCACTTTTAATTTATGACAACAGCTGGAGTTTCATAACAATGTTTGTTTCCCATGTTAATCTTATGGAGAGATACAAAACTTTAAAGGGCCCCAGGGCCTCACTCTGTAATTATTTCCCTAAAAAGAAAGTTTCCTGCACAACTTCACATTACGCTCTTTCCAATGACACCAAAAACGTGTCAATCGGTTCAGTAGTTTCGGAGGAGTAACTGTCACAAAAAACCTGCTTGCGTATTAAATAAGTATATAGATTTTGATCAAATTTGGAAAATACATTCATTTCTTACTAAACTATAGTACCTATTAACATTTTACATTAAAAAACACTTTTTTACCCTCCCTGTTGCAGCAAACCTAAGTACTCGTTAAACTAATTCTATTTAAATAGGGAATAAATGTGATATATATAAGGAGACATTTTAGTGTAAATCCAATGATGCAAATGGAAATTCGCTAAGTCTGCAGGTTTGCTGCGGCGGGGGTATTTTGTCAGCATTTTGGTTTGTTTAACACTCTCCATCTATTTCTACAGGATTGATTGTTGGAACTCCTGTAGCCACTTCTATCATTGATGCACATGCAGGCGGTCTAGGTCTAATTGGATGTACATTCACTGGCTTGCCTTGTGACTTCACCTCAAGACTTTGTAAGTTAAAAAAGTTATTTTATAACTTAAGAACTTTTTAAAAAAGGTTGGCAGCCTCTTTTAACTTTGCATTTGTCTGTCAACATATCCTTAGAGCTTGTGCATTTAATACGTATCCAGCAAACCTATCCTATCACAGTGCCAGGAGTGTGGGGACCTTAATTCAGTGCCATGGCACTAGCTCTCTGGTTTAGTCAGGAAAGACAGAGTGCCATAGGTAAGTTGCTAACTATATTCTGCAGTTGGTCTAATCTGTGCTGCATTGCCATGCTACATTGCAGTGAGTCAGTCACCTATCATGGTGCCAGGAGTGTGGGGACCTTACTTCAGTGCCATGGTGTCAGCTCTCTGGTTTAATGAGGGCGAGCAGAGTGCCACAGGCAAGCTGCTAACTATACTCTGCTGTAGGTCTGATCTGTGGTACATCATCATGTCACATGGCAGTGAGTCAGTCACCTATCATGGTGCCAGGAGTGTGGGGACCTTACTTCAGTGCCATGGTGTCAGCTCTCTGGTTTAATGAGGGAGAGCAGAGTGCCACAGGCAAGCTGCTAACTATACTCTGCTGTAGGTCTGATCTGTGGTACATCATCATGTCACATGGCAGTGAGTCAGTCACCTATCATGGTGCCAGGAGTGTGGGGACCTTACTTCAGTGCCATGGTGCCAGCTCTCTGGTTTAATGAGGGAGAGCAGAGTGCCACAGGCAAGCTGCTAACTATACTCTGCTGTAGGTCTGATCTGTGGTACATCATCATGTCACATGGCAGTGAGTCAGTCACCTATCATGGTGCCAGGAGTGTGGGGACCTTACTTCAGTGCCATGGTGCCAGCTCTCTGGCTCAGTGAAGGAGGGCAGAGTGCAACAGGCAAGTTGTTGGATCACATCATCGACACTCATCCAGCAACCGCAGGGATAAGAGCAATGAACGCTGGAATGTGAGTTTTCAAATAAACACATATATTCAACCTTAGCCATAGAAGACTTTAGCTCTTTGTGCTAGGTTCTCAGATCTTAAGGTAAACAAAGGACAGTTTAAGTATTAGTTATTAGTTGGCTGCCTTCTCTGTGGTTTGGCTTGGCAACATTTTCTCAGCAGTACAGAACTATAAAAATCCTTTAGGGCTATGCCCCTTGGGGGTTCAAAGTTTCCATGTTATCCTTATGACTATTCATATTTAAAAGGAATCAAAAATTTTGCCAGCTGTTTCAACTAAACAAGCTGGTTCTATGACATTTAATAGCATTAAAAAGTTACAAGGTAAAAAGGTTTAAAAATTGGTGTAAATACCTGCTTCTTGTAATCCAAAATGTTGCTGCTATGACGCAACTAGTTTCAACTTCTCACAAAGTCATCTTCGGGCGTCCAGGGGATGTCAAATGACTTCATCAGAAGGTCGTCAATACACAAATTATACATTCATACACGAACATGAACACAAACATGGCCTTTTTGACATCCCCTGGACGCCCGAAGATGACTTTGTGAGAAGTTGAAACTAGTTGCGTCATAGCAGCAACGTTTTGGATTACAAGAAGCAGGTATTTACACCAAATTTTATATTCAACGTAATCCAGAGGCTAACATCAACAGTAAAAAGGTTTGTAAAAAGTTACAACAGGGTGCAGCACTATTAATTGTTTTTTGCATTCATGACAACAGCCAATATAACCATAGACATAAAGAATTAAATATAGACTGTCAGCCGTGCTGCGGTTACCATGGTTACAATAGGTTCTGGGGCACACCACTGGGAGCGCCGTGTAGTTACGTAGCGTGTACGCTGTAACTAAATTTACGTAGCTCGTACACCGTTACTACATGGCGCTCCCAGCGGTGTGCGTGCCAGAACCTATGGTAACCGCAGCACGGCTGACGGTCTATATTTGATTATTTTTGTCTATGATATAACTAAGGAGCAACAAAAAGCTGTGATACACAATGAGAACTGTCAAAGAAGATTGTTTACAGTTATGTTTTTAATTTAATAAATAATTTGTGATATTGTAGGAATGTTTGATAATTTACTTTTTACCTTCTCCCTCTATACCATAGTATATGGAGAAAGTATTGTTTTCTTCAAAATTTTCGAGTTTGAGTTGTGAGTGGATATATCCGTTTTTGGTCCCCCTGGACCAAAAAAAGTTGTTTTCGAAGTGATGTGTGGATGTGTACAGAGCTGAAGTGGTAGATGGTTCACTGAAGAGTGAAATATGGTATGTAGGTACTAATCCACAATATCTCTAGGCTTTTTTTCATTTTTTTTGTATTTTTGGATTTTTTATGGTAATTTTCCCAAAAAACCCATAAAATATAAGAAAAATTTAATTTTCTCGAAAATGGCCCGAACGATTTTGATAAAAGTTTAGCATGTTATAGCCCTTTGTATTTTGTATTTTGAAAAAATGTTATAACTTCCATTGCAGTAAAAATTACGGTTCAAGAGTTATTATAACTTATGTTATAACGGGAGAAAGTATGTGTCAGATTGCTGATACCCTTTATTTCTATTGTTTAGGTGCAGTGGTAGAACATTATGGCCAACGTAGATGTGTTATACTATAGCATACTGTAAATTTGAAGAACCAAATTTTCTCAAACCGTGTCCTCCCCCATTGCAAACACAGAGCACGAGTATAACTGCAATAAGTATTTCATACTCATACGCCAACTCCGTACGAAAGACGGTACTGTTCTAGTAGGGAATGAATCTAAAAAGGTTGTGGAAATATTTGAGTCAAAATCCAATTTAGAGACAAATAGAAATTTGCTTAGTTTACAGGTTTGCTGCTGCGGGGGTGTTTATTTTTATAAGTATGGCTTGATTGTTTATTACAAACAATATGCACCAACGTGAGTTCTGTTTGTAGCCACCTGGTGACTTACCTGAACAAACTACTTGAACAACTTGCATCGTCTGAAGGGCTAGACAGTATAGACCAGCTGACTCAAGATCTACATGTGTGGCCGGATTTACACGGCAACAGATCTCCACTGGCTGACCCTACACTTCGAGGCATGGTGAGAATTCCCTTGACTTCTTTTACCTAGGGTTTTTTTATTTCCTAAAGAGATTTATTGTTTTTTTGCCAAAATATTTTGATGGAAAAGAGGTTTTCTTAAGAGGTTTTCTGTGAAAATCCCAGACGTTGCTTTAAAAAGTTCAAAAAATTGTGTACTGTTGTTATTAAGTTTGTGTGTTGATCGTTATATGAATATCGACAATGAGTAAACAAATTGATTAAACCTTTTTGGAGAGGGATTGATTTCAGCCAGATTACATTAGAAAATTAAAATCACATGACATTACAAAGAAATGTATTAGTACATTTTTTCTCATATTATTATCTCTATAATCTATATATATAATACGTGAAGCCGTTTTTTGTTAACGCAACTCCTCCCTTATTTGCGGACCAATTTCAACGTTTAAGGTGTCAAAAGATTCGTCTCAATATGTAGTTTTGCAATAAGGTTTTAGAATTTTAAAATGCCAACTCTTAAGGGCGTGAGACCCTCTCAAAGGTCGGGTTTTCCCCATAAGAAATACATAGAACAAATTTAAAATCAAAAAACAGCTGTTTATAAAAAGAAACTCACTAGCTTTTTGGGAGTGAATATTAATAATGCATATAATGTTTGCAATATTCAGTAGGTTAAGACCAAGTTAAACAGTTAATCAGTTTTATTGGAAGAACAGAAAATGCCTTAAGTTCAAATAAGAAATATTGAAAACGGGAGGATGAGACAATTAATAATAAGATATCTTATGTGTATGAGGAGAGTAGAAAAAGAGAGGTAGAAAATTCACCAACACAATCCAGACATTTCAAGTCAAAAATAAGAAGTTGCTATTGAAAGCTTTAGTGGCAATGTATTCAACGATCGAGTAGGGACGGTTAAGTTTATTTTTACGATTCTAAGGCAAATAATATACGTTGTTCAAAAAGAGCAAGTTGCAATTGCTATCCAAATCTTATAGCTACAAGAGTTAACTAACCTATTTCGACAAACGAATCCATACTTTCAAAACTTTAAGACAGGTATTAAGAGAACCCCAGAAACTCCACTGAACAACGTAAGAACGTTCTGATGCGAGGCATATACTGAGACTGAGAGACACGTTAAGTTAACCAACTTTCAATGGTGTTGCTGCTTTCAAAGCAGATTATGGCTGTCCAGTTGGTAATCCGGAGACTTTTCGGGATTCTATACGGAAAAAAATCGTTGGTTTAGGAGGATGTCTCAAATAAAAGAAATGAAATTACCAAACTAAAAAAACCCAACTAAATTACTTAACACGGGTTATCAGTAAGGCAACAGTTTTCTTCAATTCTTAATGCTGGAAAAACTTTGTTGCAACATGTTAACTCGAATTGAAGCAGAACGTTTAGCTTCCATTAAATTTTATCAGTTAAAACTGAGAGCAGAAATAATGTAGGTGAACCTTGACGACGCAAATAGAGTTATTCAAAATAATTTTGTAACAAGTTTTCAAACAACTCTAAGATATAACTAAAAATACTCGAATTTAAGCATAACGCTCTCTTCGGCGTTATGTTTCATACTATGCGGCTCATTGAGCCGCACGGGTTCTCTAGTAATACTATAATATGTGAACTTATCTAATATCTGTTGTGTGACCTTTTTTCAAGTATCTCACGTTTCCTGGACACTAAAGTCTTGTTCTATATGGTACGTTACAATGTTGCAATGATGTACACAAGGTGGTCCCTTTTGATTAGTTTTTAGATCTGACAAAAGTGTAAATGTGTTACCCTTTGCTAATTATTCAGTGCTATCCTTGTTGATTTTCCAGGTGTCTGGTCTAACCCTCTCTTCAGATAGCAAAGACCTGGCTCTTTTATACTTGGCAACTGTACAAGCATTAGCTGTAAGTATTATATACATGTATTTATTTATTTATCTATTCTGTATTATAGATATCTTAAAATCATCAAAGTTTTGAGCGCGCCCATTAGCCTAAACTACTTATGGTCCAAAAACATTAGTTAGGTAGCTGAAGTCTTCCTGCATACAACAATAGAACATTGAGGGCTTGTGTTGTCTAGTGGATAGTTAGAGTGACAGGTATCAAATTTAAGGGGTTTGGATCACTCTTTCCCTAAAGGTAGCTTCTTTCATACATAATACAAATAGTATATATAGTGCAAACAAAATATGAATGAAAAGTTATTTAAATTATTGTAAAATGTATAGTTATTAAGTCATGTTTCATTAAATCAAAGACTTTGATTTATTTTCTAATGAAGTTAGGTTGAATATTACTGTGGCTTTTGTCTTTAAGGAAAAGTCAACAACAACGTGTCAACAATATCAAATATTTAATTACTAGGCCTGTATGTATGAGCTGATAAATATGGGTCTGTCTGCTGGACTTTTGCACTTTGGTTTGAATCAGGTCGAACCAAAAATGAAAAAAATGCTAACTTTGGTCTTGGGGCCAAAATTAGTTCGGACCAAAATTGGGTCACTTTGGAAAGTAGTAGAAATTAAGTTGATACAGTTATTTCAGCAGTCCAGGTATCTAAACCACTTTAAATCAAGTTGGCTTGGAATAATTTTTATTAAATAACAAATTGTTATACCACAGTCGGTTTGAAAATATTGCATATTATTTCCCATGTTTAGAGAGAAATCATGAACGTCCCTCGCCATGAAATTGTGAAGTTCTGTGTTAGTGGAGAAATATCTCCATTGGTCATTATGTAATAATGAATCTCATCACAATTGTAAAAATTGCAGTCGTGGCAAAATAAATTTCTCCTGTGGTCGCAACAAAAAAGTGAACATCTCCTGTGATTGAGACAATCATGATTGTCTCCCTTGACCTAATCAAAATTGTGAACATCTCTCACACTTTTGCGACGAAATTGTAAATTTTCTGATTGCACTATCTTTGCAGATACTTCCTGCGATTGTGACAACATTGCTTGGTTCAAAAATCATTAATCAAACCATTCCTACAACTTTAATATCATCGTAATGACCTGAGGCAAAGTTATCTTATAGCCTGGCCAGAGGCCAGACCTAATTTGAGGACTCTCAGACCGATATGAAAAATCCCCTCAATCTTACAAATAAAATTGCTTATCAAAAGTCACATGTTTGATGTGTTTGATCTTATTAGGAATCACAACATAAGCTGTTTAAATGTTTTGTATACATAAATGTAACAAAGCTGTGATATCATTCACTGAACACTTATCATTCACTCTTCTTCGCCTTACTCTGGGGTGTCAGCATCACAAAAATCTCTAATCTCTTTCTCTCTCTGGTAAAATACACAAGATATACAGTTTATAACTAAAACGTTTTGTATTGGAAAAAATGGTGAACTGTGTACAGTACCTTTTTATGAGTTGGTGCGTATAAATTAAGTGCTAATATAAGATATATATTTCAAACATTTGTTTGATTTACAGTATGGGACCCGTCACATTCTAGACAGCCTGGAGACAGCTGGGCATCACAAGATGGAGTGTTTGCTGATATGCGGTGGACTCAGCAAGAACCCAGTGTTTGTGAAGACTCAAGCCTCTGTGATCGGACGAGCGGTGTTGCTGCCTCAACGTACTGAGGCTGGTATGTTGTGCAAAGTAGAAGGATAATGTATTGTTGTTAGACATCATGTGCAATAGACATAGTCAACGTTATCTCATATAAAAACAATAAGTAACTGGGGAATGCTCGGCGGTGTTAAATTTGTTTGGGAGGTTAGAAAACAGAAGATACGTGTGTATGATTTTCTCAAACAATAATATTATAGAACGCTGTCTTAAACATGTAAATAAAAACAAACTATATCAAAACTAAATTACATGCTATTCTGCGCTATTTTACAGACTGAGAAAAGGTAATGTATGAGTAGCTATGATGAATCTAATGGATCTGTAGTTAACCCAAGCTACACGAGTCAACGAGTATTTGCTATTCAAAAAGAAACCATGCTGTTGAATTACATAATTAGATGTCCAGAAATGAACAATGGTTTAACATACAGACAAGTTTGACAGTTTACTCGTGATTATGCAAAACACCTTGCCTGTGAGATCCTTAATAGTTGACAGGATAACAAAATTACAGGAATAGATAGGATAACGAGCTTGAAACAGCATCCTACTGTAACATTAAGAAAATACGAGTTTGAAATTAACAGAGTTTTTTGACAACTATGAAAGTGCCCTCAAGTCTGAAAACAGACAAAATTTACAACATCGATGAAACTGGTGTATCAAAACTTGTGCAAACTCCAAAATGTCGTTGCAAATCAACAACGACAACATAATTTTACAAGTTTCATACTAAAACGACTAAAATTAGAAAAACTCTAAACCCAGCCATAAACCGGATTTTGTTTGTAGTTCTATAAATATTAATGATGATTGACATGTTTGTTTTTGTGTTAGGAGTTGGCCAAGTGGGTCAGGCGGTCTCTGGCAAACATTACAATGATTACCGTGTGTATGGTTAATAATGTCGTAGGAGATACAGTTATACAAGTTTTGTTTTTGCATTTCCTAGATTAAATTACTAAACTTGATCTTGTTTGATGCACCACCTGGAGGTTTAGGTTTGATCAACAGCCTTAAAAGTGGGAGGACAATTAATTGGTCCCCAGGTTTTGTAGATACTAAAAAACACACTGTTCATGCCAAGGAAAACGTCATGGTGTTGGAGACCTTTCCTCTTCAAACTAGATTTCAGCCTTTGGACGTTGGGGTCTCGGGACCTTTCAAGTCAAAGTTTAAAGTAGCTCAGAACGACTAGATGGTTTCAATCTGTATCCATAACCTTGCTTCACTGGTAAATACACTGCCAAATATTCTGCATCTTTCATCAATAAATGTAATTGCATCATTTGTAAAAACCGGTGTCTGGCCCATTCAATAGCTTTGTTTGTTTGATATTGTTGCTTCATCTGTAGATCACATGCCTGAGAGAGTATCAGCTCAACCTGTTGGGAACGGCTCAGAGTACAAACAAAGAAACCCTAATTTTTACAGCCCATACGCGAAACAAATCAGACAAAAATAAAAACAGTAGTTTTATAGGTGGCCCTACCCAATTTTAACTGGTTTAGTACAGAAAAAAGGGTATGCCAAAAAAAACTAAAATCAGCAGTGTTGATTGATGGAAACACCAGAAAGGAATCAAATAAAAAAAATATTGGAAAGATTGGAAAGAAAGAAAAAAATTAGGCTCTGGTTGAAATAAAAGTAATACTAAAAAAAACAAAAAAAAAATTATTTGATTATTCTCATAACGAAAGTGCAGATGTAATTTCTTTCAAGATAATTCGGAGTGTGAAGATTTGGCTCAACTTTTGATGTGTAAAACTGTAGAGGTTAATAAAAAAATTGATTTTGAAAGGTGCCTTAATGGTGAAACAGCGCTGCAAGTTAATGACTTCATCCTTGTTCAGTTTGCTACATAAAGAAGAAAGTTGTCATGTATATGGGACAAATTTAAGTTAAAGCAGACGGATGGAACTACAATGTGAAGTTCTTGCATAAAAAGGATGATTGTTGGAAATTTTACCATCCTGAAAATGATGATACAACAAACAACGTAGAGAGAAGCAAAGTAAAAAGATGAAACTGTCGTAACAAATATAATTGCAGGAACTGCTTGTGCTGTATCTGCAATGACATTTTCTTTGATGAAGGAAAAATTATTCACCTTAGGACTTGTAACCTAATGAAATATGCTATATTTCAAAATAGATGTTAACTTTCAAATTTCCACTACAATTCTATAAGTTTGCCAACTCCCCACCTACTGAAATTCAAGTCTCCTGACCCGTGCACACAATTATTATAGCCATGGGTGATTAAGATCCAACACCCGGCATGTATCAGACCGGCGACCAGAATCACAGACCGACAAACCCTCCGTCTCACAGCAAAAAGTTCCATTTATTTATTAATACCTTAATCTGTAATACTATATTCATTGACTATACTCAAAATATATTCTAGTATGTAATCGAAAAATCTTACACTTCAAACAAATGGTCTTAAATATGTAATGACCCACTTTCACTCGTGTTTAAAACTTTTTTTTTCGCTACACTACAAAGACCAATTTTTTAAAATTAAAAACATACGTTGGAATAATTTTTTATTACAGTTAGGAACATTTAAAAATTAACAGCACTTTTTAGGTTAGGCCTTTTTTGCATTGATTGCACGGTTTTGATTGTTGCAAATTTAAACAGTTGATTTAACAAAATAAAATGTTTGTTTGTTTATGTCAGAAAAATCAAAAAAAAGATTGTAAACATTACTTTTGCATAGTAAAAAACATTCTTTTTGCGTCAGACAATGTAATGATGAATTTTTGCAGGTGATGAACATATAACGAAAACAGTAGTGATTTCACAGTAGTGTAGCAAAAAAATAAATTTGATTTCTACAGTATATTTTTTAGTTATTATTTTTATTTCTTCACCCGGTTGAAAAGTCCCCGAAGGTGGGGTATATGTCAACACAGTGCAAGATTTATAAGAAATGATGTAAAAGTTGGCTCAATAAAATTAATTATTATTTTTGGAAACAATTAAGAAAATTTTCTCTAAGTATTGGATTAGTTGTAGGTGCTTGAAAATTTAGGTTAAAAATAATAGTGACTTAGGAAGTGGAAACTGTTGAAAGGTGCCCTCCTCTCTCGTACTCTAGTATCTCGTATGATGTTAATAACTCTCCTACAGTGTTGGGCGGAGCTGCCATGTTAGCAGCATTTGCAGCGGGACTCTACCCCTTTGTGGAAGCAGCAGTGACTGCAATGGCAGGGCCGGCGGATCTCATTGAACCTGATGCACATTCCATAGAGTGAGTTGCTATTTAGAATTACCTTCATACCAACGTTTTTAAATTATATTATAAAGGGGATAGCAGCTAGCTCACCTTAGAAGTGTATGAAGGCTATAGAACACACGGAAGATATATTATCGCGGAGGGGATTTTGTCAAGTGTAGAACAAGAAAGGTCACAAAAAGGTTTCAGTAATGGCTATTGACACTTATGCAGTGTTGCCCCTTCTCACCAGTTTACTTACATCTATATACAAAACATATATTTATTTACGCCACAATTTGCTTGTATGCTTGTATATTTGCTCACAAAGATCTCGAATACATCTCGAATACAGCTTTGATGATTTTCTTCAAATGCTGTAAATAGTTTATTTCTAGCCTACAAACGTGTTTACTGCAGTTAGAACTGCCAACAAAAATCTAATTAAAAATTTGATGAAGTGAAAAAGCACCCATTTCACCAATTCAAATTTTTAAATACCTGCCATTTTGTTTTGGCTATAGGGGACATATCGACTTCAGGTTTGCAGGTTTGCACCATTGCTTATGTCTTGACAAACTTCAAAATGAGGGGTCACTCAATAGGGGTTGTTATTTGAAAAAAATAAAATAAGTCACCCCCACCCCAATGAAATATATTTGATGTAAACAATTTCGGAACCTTTGTTAACAATCAATGCCACAAACAGAATATTTATATCTATTTCGGTTTTAAAAATACAGATTTCTTACCATATTTGTAAAATTGGTGCTTTTTCACATTTTAAATTAAATTTTGGGATACCTGCCATTTCGGCTAGGTGTGAGATATCCACCTCGGGTTTGCGTTATTGTGTTTCTTTTGACAAACCCTTTGCAATGAGGGGTCACTCAATAAGGGGTTGCTATTTGAAAAAAAGTAAGTCAACCCCTACATCCTCTTAGGAGGGTTAAAAATATCGTTTATGTAAAAAATTGCGGATTCTTTGTTAAAAATCAATACCACAAAAAGAATATTTCTATCTATTTTGGTTGAAAAAATACAGATTTGTTTCAATACTTAATTTACACACTGTATATAATATATATATTAGCTCTAGGTAATATAAACGACAAAGAATTATTCAACGTAATTAAATCCAAACTAGTATGATGGGATAAAACTTTGGATTCTTACAAAGATAGGATAAAACAAAAAATTGGCAAGATTTACTAATTTTTTGAACAATCAAAATTCTTTTCGCTGTTGGTAGTGGATGAACTCATTGTAGACGATTGTCTTGTATTGTACGACCTCGTTGAATCAAAATGTTGTAGTGAGAATAAAACATAGACAGCCCATAAAATCATACGCAGTGTTGCCACCAGCCATGAAAACCTTGAAAAGCTTGAATTATGCATGAATTCTTGTGACCATGAAAAAAAGCATGGATTACGCATGGATTTCTCCAATGAACCATGAATTTTAAAAATCAGGAACAATTATTCTACCAGTACCATAAATTTTCCAAATAAAAAATATTTCATATTTAAAAACAGTTCATAGAAACAAACACCATGAAAATACTGTATGGAGATGATTATTTAACATGTTCCACGATCAGAAACAGTTGCTTGGTTCATTCCAAGTCATTCAAAGATGCTGATGTCAGCTGAGACTTCCCGAGGACTGTATATGATTCGAAAAATCATTAGTAGGCCTACCCCCGCATATGAAAAAGGGGGATGGGGACTTAAATCACAAAAACAGAAGTTTTAGACCATGCACGGAATTGAAACGTGGTGCACAATAAAACCAAATTTCCGACTCTTGGCGCCTGATTTTTTTTAGCTTTTTGGATAAAACCATCATATCTTAGTACGTTGTGGAATAAGATAAAAGAGAATGCACATTTTTATGACAATTATGTAGGGAGATAAAACAGGACTTTTTTGCTGAGTGAGTGGGATTTTTGTTTTATTCTGGTGAAAAAACTGAAATAGACCTAGACTTAATACATTTTACAATTCTTCTCCAATACGGTGTCTCAGCTGGACCAGTTTTTTTTTCAACTTTGTTTTGAATGTTTATAAATCACTCAAAAAAAGTTGTATATTAAGTATGAAAGGTTATTCAAAAGTAACACACAAAGAAACTGCCTCTTTGACGTCAGTTTATGAAATCAGCAAAATTCAATTGTGTTTAAATTGTATAAGCACATCGACCATGAAATTTTTTAAACTACCAATGAAAACCATGAATTCTGCATGAATTTTATGCATCCCACTATGGTGGCAACCCTGAATGGGTTTCAACCAAAACGCAAAACCCTTATTGTGTCAAAGGAGAACATATTTGACGATCATTTTTAGTAGCTCACAGACTAATAAATTAATGTTTGCTTATAAGAGATCCGACCATTTTGATTGGTTGTTGATACACAGTCGCATCGTTATTTAGCGTGCCTAGCAGCTGCTTATTTGCTGCTTATGAGCAAGAACACTCTCTTATTTCTTTTTTACAAAAAAAAAAAATCAATCCACATCAGAAGCAATTTCTGCGATAGCATCATTCCGTTTGTACTTATTCTTATACCTTTTTTTCACATGGATTCCACAATTAAGAATGTTTTTCATATGATTGGATCAGAGTAATGGTGTTTTCTACTGTCCACATTTTATTATGTTATATATTTTACTATTATGTTTCTACACTCAATCACTGCTGATTCACTTATAATGTCCATTGAAAAATACCGAAACTGATTTGAAAATCAATCAAAAAACAATACAAAACACTATGTCTTAAAAAAACATGAGCAAATGCCAATCTTCACTAGAAACAATGAAAACAGCACTCAGAATGTTTGGAAAGGTGTCTCCACCAAACCGACACCGAAAAATTTTCAGGGGACCTACAAAATGTCTGTCGAACACTGTTTGACAAACATGTTTAGTTGGTAGATACGCGGCTTTAGGCTGAAGATCTTTAGAGTTGCCATAGAGGTTAGCTTTAAATTTAAATAAATTTTTTTCCAGATACCACAACAGAAAGTACACGATCTTCTTGAAAATGGTGGAGGATCAGCAAGCCTACAGGAATATAATGCACTCAAAATAAATTTGTAGATGAAAATCCCAATGAATTAATTACATTCCAGTTAAATTTAGCCAAGGTAAAGATTTTGTATAGATGACTTTGTGAATTGACTATTGAGTTAGTTGACTTGTTTGATAATATATTCTCACAAAATGTATTCATTATTCATACTTTTATAACTTAGGAATATAAAGGGTATGAAATAAAATATAATACAAATATAAAATTGAGTAAGCTTATTTAAACATCTAACAAAAGAAGAAAGTAGAAAGCCTCCAGTACCGTCACGATCAATACAGCTACTTTCCTTCAAAATACTATTTGTCAATTCTTGAAAATCCTGTGGTTTTGCTTTGCATAACTTGTCTTTAAGGTAGCTCCAGAAAAAAATCTAAAGAGGTTAAGTATGGTTTGGTGGAATAGTGGTAACGTACGTGCCATTCAATTGCACTTCCCTTCCGGATCCATCTTTGAGGTAACGTAGCATCGAGGATATCTCTAACAACAATTTTGCTGTGTCCCCTAGGATATTTTGAATCGTTGGTATTATACGATTTTGGAGCATAGCAAGGCAAGAGTCTCCGATGAAAAACTGCCCCACAAATTTCCCTCGTATGATGACAGCCTAAACATTCAACTCAGGTGGGTGTTGAGTGTGACCTTCTATAATTCAGTGTGAATTACTATTGTTTCAGTACCATCAGTTGTGTTTTTTCTGCGCCTCATCTGAAAATACCGTGTATAATGTTTTATAGAATAATTTGTTTAGTATCTATCTTGTTTGTTCAGTTCTTGATGCAATGTCAATTTTTATGGTTTGAAGCCACTTTTATCCAAAACGTGTAGCACAGACCTATGGGACATATCATTCTGTCTACAACTGATCTCACTGTATCGTGAGGATTCACCCAAACTCTGTTTGTTGCACTCGGTGGATGATCACTTCTAGGAAGGTCTAATTCAGTTCCATGTGTTACGAAGTGGTTTATTGTTCCCTCTGAACTGTTGATTTAGCTATTGGGTTTCAGTTAGGAACATTAAAAATGTTATGAACTGCATCAATAATATGATAATTCTCTCACATTCACTAAGAACCATAACATACGTAAAGTCAATAAAAAACTGTAACAACTTACAAGACTCAAAACGAATTAAGTGAACAACTTTTGTTTGATGTCTTCATTAATGAGTGAGTAATAAATGCAACTAATAACAAATACCCAAGAGTTAAGTGTTTCCTTGTAAACGTGGGGAAACAAGATAAAGGGAAACCTATTACCAAGCAGAAACTACTTTCTATTTTAACCCTATTGTTTTTAATTCAACTAATAATTACTTGGTTGTCCATTAAGGTTCAGGTCTGTGGCAATGTAATAATAAAGATCTTTAATTTTATATGCATACCATCGACCAATGCTTACATTTACAATTTTTCCCGACTCCTGGCAGGCTGACCCTAACTGAAAATTCAAGAAGTCTTTGAACAGCTGCAACTGTTGACTGGTTGACTCTGTTGTCCATTTGAATTCAGGTTTGCGGCATTGGATTCACTAATTAAGACCTTTTGATGTGCATATCAAACCATGCATTTTTATGACCAGTAGCTTAGTTAGTTCCAGGTTTTGTTGCTTTGTCTTTATTAATTTTTTTTAATATTCATCTGTACCGGGTCTTTTTTCCACTCTGTATATGCAGTATATGTAGGCCTAACACTATGTGTGTACATAAATTAATACAATTTTAAATCAGCATCTGAGAGAAATGTGAAAGAAACGGGTCGCCGGAATTGTACCCCCCTGGAATTGTACCTCCTGGCGATCGTTGACGTCATTTTGACGTCACGCCTAGGGGGGGTACAATTCCACCCCATACACTTCGATTTGAACGAAATCTAATCTATTTAATGTGGGCAAGTGATCAGTGAACCGGATAATTATATTAGATATTAAAAAGAGCAGGATATGTACGGCCCGGAATTGTACCCTCCTGGAATTGTATCCCCCAGAATTGTACCCCCCATCAGAAAGCCAAATGTGTACGGGGTGGAATTGTACCCCCACCCACTCGATAAACTTAATTGGTATTATGAAAATGAAGTAGTAGAGAATGAAACATTAAAACATAATTAAATATGCAACTCTATAAACCAATTTTTTTTAAATAATATTTACAAACTTTTACTGAATTTACAATCCGCCTATTTTACATTTTTCTTTGTTACAGTAGCCTCTAATTTTCCCCTTTTAATCATGCATTTAGTATGTTACAGCACATAAGTGCAGCTACCGTGGTCAGAAATTGAGCTTGAGGATGTATAATTGTAGCGTAATATTCGCCAATGTTTTCCCGTAAAAAGACGGGTGTTAAGCAAAATGAGCCGTCGTAAATGATACTTAATTTCTGGAATTAGAGGTCAGTAAGCAATTTAGTCACAGACTGTATATGTTTGTTACTGTAAATTATATAATTAAATAACAAATTATGAACAGCTATTACTGGCAAAGGTGGACAAAATACCTGTTGTAAAATTTAGTTGTAGGTATCTGGTACAAAGTATTTCACAGTTTGTCAAAGTTTTAACCTTTGTGAATTTAAGCTAACCCATGAACAGTTAGTACTTGGGAAGGTTAAGAAAATATTAATGAATAACGTATAAAGAAGTCTGTTAGGCCTCTCGCACGTTACTCGGAATGGCCTTAATTTGCAGTTTCTTAGAATATCCTTTCACAACAAGCAATTCGTTAGCTGTCGGGTAACTTGGTTCAGTTCACTTTCGTGCGATTCCCCTCTAATATCCAACATAACTATTGTTTTGATTTTACTTGGCAATCACAATAGACAAGCTCCTGGGTGAAATGGAGGGAGGGGGTACAATTCCAGGGGGTACAATTCCGGGCCGTACATCTTCTTCTGCGGTCACCAGGGGGGTACAATTCCAGGGGGGTACAATTCAACCCCGTACACTGGCCAAATAAAAGTGAGTTCTAACTGAGGGGGTACAATTCCAGGGGGTACAATTCCGGTCCGTACAGTTTTTTAGATGCCAGTGGATTTAATCAAACCACTCGTGCATATCAATTTCAAAGTTTTATGAGGGGGGTACAATTCCAGCCCGTACACGCCGTTTTGGTCGAGAAAATGAGACGTCATCGTGATGTCACTAACCTGCAGGGGGTACAATTCCGCCACCCCAAAGAAACCACAAAATCTTTTGCCAGAATAAATATTTATTTGAAATATTTAACAATATAGAATCAACTTAACAACCAGTACTGTAAATGTAACATTAATAATTAATATTTAACTTGCACTTTCAACATTTTTTGAAGAAAACAAATCTTCCGTTGTGTTTTATTTAAGACTTTTTTGGAAACACCTTGTCACAACAACTGCAAAATAGAAAACAAATAAAAATCAACATACAAAATTTAATTTACTATCACAAAAAAGTATGGAAATAATATTTTACAAAATATTAGCTAGAAGTTAAGCTAAGAAAAGGTTTAACAAGGATGGATATGAAGCATACTAAATTATTGCAAGCACACATACTACTGTACCACAATAATGTGGTTTGTGTGACATAAACAAGGACAAATAATGATCTTGTATCAGTGATGAGTAGATATTAGATAACCATCAAAAGACTGTATATTTGCCTATGATGTACAATATACAAAATTCAAAAATTAAATCGCTTTCTATGAACTAATATTCTTGCTGTCAGTTTTTATAATAATGAATCATTGTTATTAGAATTTTCAGATAATTGTAAGACATTTTGCCTACACATATACTTAACTATATTATATGCATATCCTTCCCATTAAGATTGAGAAATCAAAAAATATAATTAGGTTTGCTTGCATACCTAGTCTGTCTTCAGCCATCATAAAAGTAGTTAAGGATTACTAGTTCAGGGATAATTGCTAGGCTATAGTGTAGTTTAGAACAACTCTGGGCAACCTACATCGCTTGGTTTCAGTGTGGCCGGCCAATATTCTATAGCCGTGCTTTTAACTTAATAAGCAAGATTTGTCCCCTGATATTAAATGTTATACTCACTCTACGTAGAACCACGGAGCCAGTGCAGGTATAGGGGAGGGAAGTGGGGCCTCAGCAACCATCTCTGGTTCTGGCTCAGCCTGCTGGTGTAAGATTCTACGTAACTCTGCTTCAAAAACCAGATCTGGGGACTCCAGCTCATTCTGTGCAAAACAAGACTGTGAGATTAAAAAATAATAACTAAAGTCTTGGGAGTACTAAGCCTGTAATATGGCTCAAAGAGGCATAAAAAGGATGTATAGTAAATATTTTATCAAATTTTAATTTACATACCTTCATTTTCTTAGTAAAATAAACAGTATCAGCAATCTGACACATACTTTCTCTCATTAGCTTGTCAACAACCTTTATCATGGGTAAGGGGTGGGAGTAACTAGGATCACAAAAGTTGCAATATTGGATTTATGCAATGGTGTTATGTTGTTGGATCCTCTTTTGTGGTTTCTATTTTATAATTTAACTTGCACTTTTTTAATCCTAGTCATAATTTTTACTACAGTAGACTCTCTCTTGTCCGGACTCCTCCGCACCGAGGCTAGTCCGGATAACGGTTTTTTTTGGTTAAACCGACGTTCCCAAAAACTCGTTAAAACAGACCATTTAAATACATACTGTATACAGTATTCGACATAAATTTTGGAGGGCATTGTATTTAGACACGTGATCACTGGTCTCAAATCTTTCCCACGAGAACAGTAGTTTCAGTACTGCCGATCTAGTCTGGTTAAACTGGTGTGCTGATAAAAATTGTCCGGTAAAATAAATTTAATTTCCGACGAGTGTAGACCGGTTAAACCGATGTCCGGTTAAAAGGCGTCTGGATAAGAGGGAGTCTACTGTACTTAACTTAGGGATTTCGGAGGGGGGTTTGACCCCAACCCCCGCTCCTGGCTACGGCCTTGACGGCAGAACAGCTGGCAGGCTCTGTTTAGTGAGCACATTTTCCTAGTACCGAGAAGTATAATATCAATTTGTCATATCGAAATCTTTGATCGACTATTGAATGGACTTATTAGTTTTGATTGTCCTTTGATTTATTTGGTGTCAGCTTTGCACTAAACAATCGAGTGGTTGGTACGATAACAACCGATATTGAAATGATATCTATACTCCCGATGCAGACGATAGGAAACATTTTTTACCGCACAGGTGACTCAATGTTTATAAACATGCTCAAGCTGGTTTTTCACTTGCATAATGAACTGTAGTACCAGTACCTTCTTCATAGGGTATTGCGTCGGCTGCAAACAGGCCTGGCGGAACATGATGTCGCTCATTGTAGAACACACAGCAGTTCCCTTGTTCCACACCCCAGCTTGCAGCTGACCTGTCTGTAGGTGGTAGAACTCTCCGTAGCCATGCTTCTGATTGGCTCTCCAGTCACCCTCGTACCGATTACCGTTGGCTGCAGGAAATGTCATATGTAAATGCATTTTACTGTATTAATGAATTTGATTCCACGATTTTGTTATATGAATGGTTTGTCATCTAACTGTGGTAGAATACATGATATCTTTATGAAATACAGGAAAGCTGGACGCCGACAAGAGAATCCTTAATGGTTTCTTTGAACAAAACGAGCGGAATAATACAATTTTAAAACGTTATTTAATATGTGGTTATTCACTGTTTCAATGATTTATGTGCGATATTTTTTTCCAACAACCTGTTTGAACATTATAATGATAATACATTCAATTTTATAATTAGGAAGTACAGGAGAATACGGATATGTGGACATGTTGTTAAAATCATTCAGTACACTATAGCTTAATAGCATATTTTCCCATGACAGATACAAGTAGAAACCGAAGCTTAAACAGTCGTTTCTCGGGTGCACCCACCCTACTATACAGGGTGTCCCTAAGAAAGTAAATACAAAGAATTAAGGAATAGGCTAATTGGGTCAAGATAAAATTAAAATCAAGGGACCGCGTCTCATTGTCCCGCCGACTAGTTGTACCTACATCTACTTGTACCTCGAGGCCTAGGGACAACTAGTCCTAGGCACAACTAGACGTAGGTACAAGTAGACGGTGGCACACCCGACTAGTTGTACCTGCAGATTTTTAGGAGGTACAACTAGACGTAGGTACAAGTAGACGTCGGTACAACTAGACGTGTATCCCACCGACAAGTAGTATCACCTAGCTTGGGAGCAACCAGTTGTCCCTACGACTAGTAGTCCCTACGACTAGTGGTCCCTCCGTCTAGTAGTCCCTACGTCTAGTTGTACCTACGACTAGTTGTACCTACGCGTATTTTACGTCCTTATAGTCTGATAAGGACTGTTTAATTGATTACACAATGAAACAGATTATTATTCTAATTAATCCGTAGGGATGAAAATTAACCTTAAAATTCGTGTAACTGAGCAGTCAGACATGTTCGGCAAGCCGCTGGTTTTCAGGCGGGCCTGCGAGGACTGTTTTCCATAGCAGCACGAACTCTATCGAATGTTAAGTTGTCTGGCGTCCGATCTGTAGTAAAATCTTTTACTACTCGAATTTTTGAGGAAAGGTTGGGAAAGTAACAACGATCACAAGTTTTAATTAATATTGGCAGCTTTTTCTTTAAAATAAATTTTGAACTGCTTACACTAAGCTTGAATTAGAAATAGACATAACTATATATAGTTTTAATGGACTGCTCGATTCCCGTCCGTAGGACGGGCCAACAGCTCGTAGTGATTACACTTAACTGAATTTTAATTTCTATTTTGATTTTGGTATATTTTTCCCTTTGAATACATGTTCTTGTTAGATTCAATTGAATGTAAATTATTGTTTACATTCATATTATGTTGTTCTTTTTATATATTTCTTCATTTAAACTATATAAACTACATTTTATACTGAGCTAGGTATGTGTACACTGGCTATGTAGTCTGCAACTAAACCAAGATTAGTTTTACTAAGAACTAATAAGCGCGCGCAAAAAAGTCATAACTGGGTTATTTTTTTCAATGGTATTTCAATACTGAGCTTTAATTACGTTTGCGTAGAAGGTAATTAAGATGTATTTTTGAGAAAATGAAATGAAATGAAAAATGAAATGAAAAAAGTGCTTTATTAACACAAAAATAAACTCCATAATACATATGAACTTATAACTAAACATAATCTTCTGCATAACAACAACAAAATTACTAAAAACAGCACATTACAGCAATGGTCATAAGACCGTCTGCCGGGTTGACAACATTTTATTTTATACAACTAAAAATGTGAAATATTTGTAATAAGCTATAATATGTATATTGTTTTGCTGCTAGACATTGAATTCTAAAACCAAATCCCACCTATACTTCCAAGCCTCTTTAAGAAAATTTGCCAGCGAACGCCAATCCTTACCATTAAGAAAATCTATAAATTCTGAGCGAGTTAAAACAGGTTTCAATAGCCATTTATTTCTAATTTGTGTTAAAATTGGACAACGAGCAACAAAATGATAAGTGTCCTCATTCTCATTTAGATTACACAAAGAACATATAAAATTAGCGTCTGTCATCCAAGGTTTAAAATTTAAGGAAATAGTCTCTGTCCTTACTTTGAATACCCATCGTCTAACAATATCAGGAACGTTATCTGATAGATATCCATTATCTCCAAGGTCAAGATTCAGTGAAGCATAAGTTGTGTGGTATCGTGAGGCCAATGCCGCCTGGACTAATCCCCGCCTGCTCTCCCCCCTTACTGCCTCTACTACTGATAACAGGTGTCGCTGGGTATCCTCAATGGAATTCACATCAAAGGATAATTCAATTCCATGTTTACTTCCAAGACCCTTCCAATCTCTGCTCCAATAAATATTTTCGCTGATTATTTTCTTTGCTAATTTATTTGGTAGACGGTTCGGCGGCAGTGACAGAGCATGTATGATGTAACGAGCATGCATGCTGAGTGTATAAATGTACTCTTTTTCTAGTCCAGTTTCGAGATACAATGCATAGTTGGGAGTATTTTTTGCCAATCCTAAAATTTTCTTTACAAAATAACAAAGAGTCCCATCTACATAATCACTTTCCCATAAACCCCATATTTGACACCCATAACAAAGAGTTGATCTGACAATTGAAAAATAAATAGTGAATTTTTTACTTAAAGGTACATTTTTGTTATTTAGAAATGTATTCCAAATACTGTTAATTGCTAATTTTGAAGAGCTGCACTTGTGTTTTAAATGCAAACCCCAGGATAGTTTAGAATTTAAGTTTATTCCCAAATATTTATAATCATTAACCACATCGATTCTTTCACCTCGAAAATACCATTTGTCATTTTTCCTCAGTTTCCCTCCTTTCCTAAAAACCATAATCTTTGACTTACTTAAATTCACAGTCAAGTTCCATTGTTGACAATATCTCTCAAGGTCATTTATCATTAACTGCAGACTGGTTCCCGTCGGAGCCATCAACACAATGTCGTCAGCATATAACAAAGCCTTAATTTGAACATCTCCAAAAATGCAGCCTCCACTTAATGAATCTATAATGTCATTTACAAATAAGTTAAAACATAAAGGACTCAAAACATCTCCTTGTTTTAGACCGAGGCCTGTTTCAAAGTAGTCTGTTATTCCATCTTTACACCAGACAGCTGACGAAGTACCATTATATAAATCCATTAAAACGCGTAACATATGCGTAGAAATACCAAGACATGATAACTTATAAAACAAAGCATTTCTATCTATTGTATCGAAAGCTGCAGTAAAATCTACAAAAAAAGTATATAATTTACCCTTTTTTTTACTGAGACACAATTTTGCAGCATTTGAAAGAATAAAAACATTATCAATTGTCGAATAGCCACTCCTGAAACCAGCTTGATATTCACACAGCTTATCATGATCTGTTATCCAAAGATTTAATCTGTTGTACAGTAAACTTGTGTATAACTTAGCTACGCAATCTATAAATGATAAACCCCTATAATTTTGTGCAATGTTTTTATCACCTTTCTTAAACAGAGGATAGATAATTGATTGTTTAAAACTTTTCGGTACTTTATTAGTTTTGAAAATATTGTTATAAAAATTCAGCAACTTAACTAAAAATGACTCTGAACCATTTTTAAAGAACTCGTAGGGTATTCCGTCAGCTCCTGGTGCCTTACCATTCTTTACTTTCAATAAAACTGTTTTTAATTCGTTCAAATTAAATTCTTTATCTAGAAAGTCGTCTTGAATAAGAGGAAGCGCATAACAGACATTGGCTGACAGCAGGGGCGGGTTCAAGAGACTCTTAAAGTGTTCTAACCATTCGTTTGGGCTGACTTGACCACCTGTATTAGGACTTTGAATCTTAAAACTATTTATAAGTTTCCATAAACATTTACTGTCTTTAGCCTGAGTCAAAGATAAATACATATTGTCAAAGTAAGCAGTTTTTTTTGCTTTAAGTAAATTTTTTAATGATCTGTTGGCCTCAATATATTCATTTTTTATCTCGATTTCATCGCTTTTTCTGTACTTTCTCAATAGTTTAAACACATTGTGCCTAGCTTTAGCGCACTGTAAGTCAAACCATGGCTGTTTCCTTGCAAACTTGAAAGAGTTATTTGTATTTGACTTTACTTGTTTAACATGAGCTGACTCTGTAATGCATTGAATGAGACTCTTAACATTTCTTTCCTCGTCTATGTCCAATTGCAAATTTAAAGCAGCAGTGTGTATTCTTTCCTTAAAATTAAAATCATCAAAATTGGTCCACTTTAATCTTGGAAGTAAAGATAAAACTTGTCCCTCGACTCTGGAATCTAATTCTTTCCTTATCTTAAGAGTTAATTGTATTGGCAAGTGATCTGACCCAATGTACTCTATTATCTTAAAATCACTAACTATTTGTAAACAATGAATTGAAACAAGTGCTAAGTCTATCACTGACGCTCCCAATTTATTTATGAAAGTAAATTCGCCCTTAGAATCACACTTTGTTCTCCCATTCAATACAAGTAATCCAAAATCATCACACATTTCTAAAATTTTTTTCCCATTTACATTTAAAACTGTATCTTTTGACTTTCGATCATAATTTAGGCATGCATTGGTCAGTATATTAGTATCTTCAGTAATGTTTTGCTCACTAGAAATTCGACTGTTTAGATCCCCGATTACGATTAAATTTTTACCATTGTTACCATGGATTATTTCATACAAATTTTCGAAATCATTTTCCCAAGTGCTATAATTCAAATAAATTGGCAAAATAATAAATTCTCTATTATAGTTTTCTTCCAGTAACTTAAAAGCAGTTATATTTCTAAAATATTCAAACTTAATATTATTGAAGAATTTTGACTGTTTATTTATTCCTAAAACTATACCACCTGACTGTCTACCTAGTGTTGCATTTCTTACTGCAAATTTAAAATCTATCTTAAAGTTAACTAGTCTTTTTAAAAC